TAAAGTTATTTTTTTTATTTATTTAGCATAAATTATTTTTAAATATAAATTTATTATAGTATAAAAAATAAAAAAAAAATATTTTTAACATACACTTTAAGAATATATGTTAAAAGTCAACCACTTAAGTAATTTAATAGTCATTTCCTTCTGTTGAAAGTAAGAAATTCTAAGTTTGAGTCACATAGCATGTCGGTGGGATGGAATAAAGGATGAAATTCTCTTTTTAAAGAGTATAGTGATAAATTTTTTACGACTTTTTTTATATAACTTTTTTAAGTAATTTAATAAATGGATAATTATAATATCACAGGTCTTAATAGAATAAAAAAAATTAATCATCAAATAATATGTAAAGTTAAATGAAAATTTTATATTAAAAAATTGTCTTTCAATTTTTTTTTTGTCATATAATGAGAACTTGTTATTTTTTTAACCCCTTTCCACCCATCTTAAAATTTAAATATAAGACTTCTAAAATATAAACTCTAGGTTTTTAACTTCTACAATGTCTTCTAGGACACATTAATTATGAAAATATGAACGTTTTATTGTAGTAAAAGGACTTTGATTGAGGCAAACCAATTGTATAAGACAATTCCTTTCCATTAAATTATACCAACATTGACATTGGCACACAAGATAAATCCAGGTGACATAACAAATCCTTTTTTTTTTTCCCTGCATGTAAAAGTTTTGAGGGGATTTCTTTTATAGGCTAAAAGAAACTATAATATAAGTGCTACTTTTTTTTTTTTTTTTTGCACAGATTAAAATTATTTACATATATTAATTGAAAAAAAAAATTTCGTGAGACTTGAACACATTATCTATAGAAGGTAAACTATCCTAAACGATCCTAAGATAGGATTCATACCACTATATTGAAACGGGTTGTTCATAAAATAAGTGATACTTGTTTATATCAACAAAATCTTTAATTCATGTAAATTTATTGTAGAATTATTTATTGCGTTAGTTAAAAATTTAGATTTTAATCCCTAATCTTTAGGTATAAAAAAAAACGCTTTGATCACAAAACCCCAAACAAAGTCATGGCTAACGCATCAACAGTCAGCCAATAGAGACATGGGATAGGGATGGCAATTTTCTTTATAATTTGTGGAGTTCTATGGGGCTTCTCGATGTAAGCATAGAGACTTTTAAAGTATTTTTTTTTGTGAGATGAGGATAGAGGTAATATTTTTAAATGAAATTTCACAAAGAATATTTTTATTCCAAGAATC